AGTTTACTTTAACAGGAGAGTCCGACCCAACTCTCCAGTTGATTCAGTAAAATGTAACACATACAATGGGGGTATAGCTCAGTGGTAGAGCATTTGACTGCAGATCAAGAGGTCTCCGGTTCAAATCCGGATGCCCCCTTCGGTAGCATTTTCTGTTGTTCTACTTATTGTTGTTAAAGCATAGTGTCTTTTTTAATCAGGTTGATTGTATAATCAAGCTGTAATCACAATAACACTGGTTTCAAAAAAAAGCTGCAAGTGTCATTTATCTGTACATGAACAACAGCACAGGAATAATACCTCTCTGGATGATAGGTATTTATTATTCGGGCTATTTAAGGAAAAAAGCAGCCACACTACTTTAGTTTCATTTTCAGTGGTATTATATATACATATATATAGTTAAATGTGGATGCCCAACAGTAGTCCCCAAAACCCACACACACCAGTTTGAAAGTTGCAATATTATTTATTTCAAAAACAATTTACAAAATGCAGTATTTACATTTTAAATATTTTCTTTAGCAGCCAGCTCATTTTCCCAACCAGGAAATAGTATATTCTATAATATACAGAATAAAACTAGAGAGCTTTGATACATATATAAACACCTTCAGATGAAAACTGCTGGTATTAAGTGACATAAAATACAAAATGTTCCATTATAACTCAGATTTGAGCTTTTCTCAGAAGAAGAGGCCACAGGAATTTCTTATTGTGTAAACATACATTAGTTTCATTAGAGGCTAACTGTTACAGCAGGCAGCTGCTAAAATGTGCGTGAAAAGTTGCTTTTAACATTGGAAAAGGCAAGTGCATTATCTAGAAAAAGATTTGAAATTCTAAAATGGAAAGCACGTAAACGACTGAAAAAATAACAGTCAACGGTCCAGATGAGTTTGTGATGTTCTACGTTATAAATATAGACAAAAGCTGACAAATCTTATTTATCAGTTTGCTGTTCAAGTATAGATTTAAAACTTATTGTCACCAAGTTGTAAACTCTACAAAATAAATTCAGGGCAATTAGTTTGCAGCTTAACAGTTAAGGCACCCTCCACAATAAGTGGCGCCGCTAATAATAAAGGAGGTTTTAAACAGTGAGCCACCTCTACCATCATCTTGACTGGGCGTGATGGTAAGATAATGTTGGGTCTAGTCACAGTTTCGACTATTTTAAGCTTTGTATTTAGGCAAGAAACAATTTTCTTGCAGCCATGATGATTGACAAACATCAGTTGTTGTGCTGTCTCACAACACTTGAGAAACTTCATGAATGCATAAAGGGATTGCATTATTATGTATCTTTCTACGAAGATGCAAGGTCATAGTTTTAGTTGAAAAAAATCAAATATACCCTGATTGCAATATAAACGTACAACGACACAGATCTTCAGTAACAACAATAAAAAAACAGCCCTGAAACCTTTTAGATGTTTGTTCGATGTGATTCTAAAGGAATCGAAGCAGCTCTTTGCAGACTCCCACATGAAAACAAAGCATGAGCGGCGAGTCAGCTCTGCCTCAGATGCTATTACACAGGCCCAAACACTGTAAATCATACTGACAATGCAGCCTCTGTAGAACAGGAAGTTGGCTCAGTTTTTTTTTTTTTTTCAGAGAAGTTTGATCCACCCCAGGGAGCATCAGTTTGGCACAACGTGCGATTTCATCCAGTCCAGACTGGCAGGAAGACTGCAGGAGGAGAAAGGAAAGAGCCTGTTAATAAGAGGTGGAAAACTTATCTGGTATCACTGGCTTAAACTGAGGTGTGTACTCACCCTTCTCCAGTCAGGGCGCAGCAGGCTTGGACATGCCAGGAGTGCGTTGTGATGGAGTCAAGCGTGAGGCACTGGGAGATCTCTGCTGCTGTCATCGAGCCTTTTATGTCTTGTTTATTAGCCAGAACGAGAATGGCAGCATTTTGTAGTTCCTACATGAAAAAAAACAAGAGAAGAACCAATGAGGAATGTTATCAAATTTTAACTCAAATACATCAACAGTAGCTGCATTTCAATTAATCATAAAATTGCTCAAATTGAAATTACAAAAATAAATTAGATTTTTTGTGATAGGATGTGGTGGTTTTTCAGCCGCATTGAAATAGATGTATTTCACAAAACTGCATTGGAAGCACTTTTTTCACATCAGCAGGATGTTACTACTGGTGAAAACAACAAAGACAATGACAGGAAGTAGCAGGGGGATAATGGTTTGTTTTGGTTTTCTTGTTTGTCTTTTGCTCTCACAGCATCGCACAGTTCACAGAACGTTGTGTGTCAAATCAATAGCTCGTAAGTAAAATCTAAGACTACAACTTCTCCAAAACGCGGCTCACATAGATCCTCCCAAGTATACGGGGGTTTTCACTCAAACACCTGAATAAGACGCAAACGTCTCCTGATGGCTGATAGATGACGAGTGCTAACACCATGACTGAATAAAGAATATCACGTGTAACTGTTTACAACATCGCATGACCAAGCTTATTCACATGTGACTTCAATTTCATTTGTTATTTAATGGAAACACCACAATTGTGAAATTCTGTGGGGGTTTTTTTTTTTAACATCGGCAAAATATTGACAAAGTTTTGGACACATTTGCAGTGGAAACACAGCTACAGATGCCAGGATTAAGCTGTCTCAGCGGAACATTTTAAGACGCTGACTCAAACAGCCAAAAAGGAAACTTCCTCATCACGTTGTGTCATGGGTTGTCAGAATTTGTTCTGCTTTCACAACACAATTAGTCACTCACTGAAGGCGGGGGTGTGTTTCAAACGTGCGGCATAAACTTGGAGAACAAACAAAAGAGTTTTACGTCAAGGAGTCAAATACAAAGAAAAGTTGAGATTCCTACGAAATAAGTTATTTTTAAACACCTGTTATTAAGGCATTGGAGTGGAGCTATGTAAAGAAATAAGGCGTCATTTGTTACATAGGTTTAAAGTAAAGTAATACCTCATGCGCAAGCATACGGTGAAGCTCTTCTTTGGTCACAGTCAGCCTTTCACGATCAGTGCTGTCCACCACCAGAATGACAATCTGGAAAGGCAACCATTTATAGTAGGTTACATCACAGATATAGGAGCAATAAATTGTAAAGCAGGGCATCAGTCAACTCTAACGCTTCTGTTTTTGTCCTGGATGAGACTCAAGAGGTTAATTTTCAACCTGTGAAATGCAGCAAAAGCTGTACCTCTGTGTTGCAGTAGTACGAGTACCAGCTGGCCCTCAGACTCTCCTGCCCTCCAATGTCCCACACCATAAAGTGAGTATTGCGGACAACTATCTCCTCAACGTTGCTGCCAATGGTAGGTGACGTGTGAACGGCCTCCTTTGTCAAGCTGAAATTACAGACATTTCAAATAAGGCCCCAAAACAACTTCAAGAGCCGACTAGATCTGCATAAGGTACTGAGATCACTTACAACTGGTAGAGGATTGTTGTTTTCCCAGCGTTATCCAAACCCACAATGATGACTTTGTGCTCTGTAAGACAAAAACAAATGCAGTCAAATGTACTTCTGTAGTCTCAAACTGAATGTGTTGCCCAACATTTGCAAGTTCTAACAACAGACAGATCAAGGTAAGATAAGGTACAGATGCGTCACATGTTCTGGACAGGATGGTATCAGAACACAGCAGTAGTTTCAAATGTTTGGACTCAAAATATCAAACAAAATACATGCAGAAAACACATACTATACCCAAAAAGTTTAATCACAACAATGTAAAATGGAATCTGTCATATTATAATATAGGTAGATTATATGAATGCAAAAATGGAAACAGTTTTTTACCTTTGTCTCCGAACACCGCCATCATCTTGGACAACAGGAACCCCATGATAGTATGTTTAGGAAGCGTATGAAGCGCTGAATACAAAACAAATCCTGAAGAAGAGCAACTTCAGTTCCAATCAACACCTGAGTGACTCACGAAGCTTTGTCTCGGCATCTTATACCGGTTTCTGCTTCGCTTTTTGCGATAGTGGGAGGCGCCTCTGAAAAACCCTCGGTGTTTCACTGAAGTGGTGCGTTAAATGGCAGTGGGAAATGTCGGTACACAAACAGGTGCAGGTCTGTAGATTGTTACATAACAGCGTACACAGCTCTGCCTTAAGCTTACAATATGATAAAAATGTTATTTAAGTACACATTTTTGATGATATGATTGGGTAAGTAACATCTAATGCAGACTTTAATTCAGTGTTGAAAAAAATATGCAAGGGGGAAACTACTTTTTCACAGCACATACCAGTTTTTTTTTTTTTTCAAATAAATAGTGCTTACTGTTTGAGAATATCTACATTTTATAAGTGACAGACCTGTAAGCTTTTAATTTCATGTAATTTATTCTAGATAAAGATGTAAGAAGGAGAATTGTAGATTCTAATTAACTGAGAACTTAATTTAAATCAAGATAATCAGTTCAAGAACTGTATGACAGTGCTTGTCATTTAAATGTCCCCTCAGCTTGTCAAGAAGACCTTATATGTGAAAAATACTGAGGTAGGATTTTCAGGGAAAATGACCAAAGCATAAACATCAACCTCTTATAAAAGGTTGCTGACCAACAAAGAAGTATTTCCCGAAAAAAACAGTCATTTTTAAACTTGACTAAAGTTTGCAGTTACACACATTGAAATTTTGGTGGTCAGATGAGACAAAGATTGAAGTTTTTGACTTTAAGTTTTCAAAGTAAGGCTTTTTTGTACTAGATGTTTGGTGGTGGTAGCAAAAGGTTTGGAGCTGTTTCACTATCAGATCTAATGGTGAAAGGTGAATCAACAGCAATCTCTAGCTTTTTTAAATCATTTTCTTTAAAAATGTAGCTTGAAACAGATCTTAACGTTTGAATTAAATACAATTTACTAGCTTTACGAATTGTCAAATACCAAAATTGGATTGTAATACATTGTAATTGTGACTGGATTGTTTCTTTCTTGAATTTTCTAAGCTAATATGACATTTTTTATATCAAAATAAAAGATAAATATGCCAAAACAACCCCCAAAACTCGTACTGTAACGCACCTGAACACTTTGTCATGTAGTTAAATATCTGAGCTTGGCAGTGGGTCCTGAAGGCACCTTCACGTCTCTGCCGTCGCGCCGACGAAACGAGCTTGCAAACCGGCGTAACCCATCGACGTAATAACAATTCCATCCCGTATATGGAAAGGGGAAGTGATACCGTTTGCTCCCCGCCCTACGGAGCTCTTGAGGAACATTGGTAAACAGAAAGCAAAAACATGATCAAAAAGAATTCCCCTGAAATTTTTTGAACAGTCCTGGGATTTCCTGGAACAAACCTGCAGTTCCTGCAAGTGTTCTTCATTAAATTTTATCAAACAGATTATAAAGTTTTATTGTTTCCAGCATTTACAACAAGCTAAATCAACTAAATGTACGTGTTCAACATGTAGTTTACCTTCCTTTTCTAAAACTCCCAAAGTAAAATTTAATTCTGGTCCAATTACCTGCTGTTGTATTTTTTAGGATTATGGGTGATTTCCAACAACTGAAATAAAAGTAAAATTTTGTATTTATTGAATATGTGAAGTTTTAGATTTTTACTAACTTTTTCATGCTACCGCCACAACTTCAGTGATTTTATTGGGATTTCATTATAGGGTTGTCTTAAAATTATGAAGTTAAAAGAACATGTGGCTTTCTTTTTTATTATTATTTGTTGTGGTGTGCATTTTACTGTATTTAACGCCTCCCATCTTACCACAACTCTAACTTTTCTGGCCCTGCATTAAGTAAAGTGTACCCACACACTGCCAGTAACATGTTACCTTTACTTCAGTGTTGGTACAGTATATTTATTCTATATTTATTCATTATTATTTTGCTTTTTTTTTTTTTTAGCTGAGTGCACCAAAATCTACTTTTGAGAAAAATCGAAGGATGTTTGCTGTACCATTTATGATGAAATTGAGTTAATATGAAAAACATGGTTGAAAATAAGCAGTGAACATTTCTTTGTAAGATTATTTTGTCATCAAGGCCTCCACAAAGTCACTTCAAGGTGCCGCAAATGGCCCCCAGGACACACTTTAGACATTCTTGCCCCAAGTATGACATAGTGCAACCAATAAAAATAACAATACTAGCAATAATAATATGTGGATTATTATCTTTTGTTAGAAAATTGTGTTTTATTTATATTTGTCCAGGTGAAAGGGAAACATTTAGCAAATAATACATTTGCTTCTCTATTTAACACACTTTTCCAATTTTAAAGAAAATAATCTTACAGAGGAATATATCCTGCTTTTCACACAAAAAAAGATCATTTAAAATCTAAAAGTGGGAGCTGGAACAAAAACTGCAATTTTTTTTTAATAATGTTCTTTTATTACTGTATTTCCATTTCATAGTAATTCTCGGACCACAAACGTCCTCTGATTTTTAATCAAGATTAATTTAATGCTCCCATTTGGTAAACTGGGCTAAATAAAGCAAAAATATTTTTCAAAGCATGAACAACCAATATCCCAATCTTCTTGCTAAGAATATGCACAAAGAATCCAGGCAAAAAACAACAGAAAACAATCGGAATAGGATGTTGTTCAAATTTACATTTCAGGTGTATAATGATTTCCAGTTCCCTTTTCTACAGAAATCATACTTCTGTGTTTTATTAAAAAATTGTTTTTTTGCTTATAGTTTTCCAGGTGAAAGGGAATTGTTTTGCAAAAAATTAAAAAATACTGCATTTTTATTAAACATAGAAAGAAATATCTACATTTTGTAGACCTCGGTTACTTTCAGGTGGGGGAAAGTTGGATCTAAAAGCTGCAGGACACAAAACCTCGAAACCTGGATTTGAAGACTTGTACATAAAATCTGAATAAAACACAGTGGAGTTTGTTGTTGGAATGTGGTAAAAAAACAAAAAACAACAACAAAGAAATACTTGCAATAAAAGTATATAAAGGAAAAAATTAACACCACAAAGATCCTGTGATGTGTACTGTTTGCGTTTCTGCTGTTCGGCTGCTGCGACTCACTGATGTAAGGCTAATGTTTGAACGTAAACCACAACTCTGCAATTTCCGTTCATGCAATGTCATCTGGCAGCAGATGTAAAGAACACTGCACACGAATAAAAATACCACATCCTGCATATTCTCACTCTGAATGTGCTTCTTATCTAAGTCCTGCCTGACACCTGCTTAGTTGTTTTGGTTAATGTCTCCCTTAAAAAGAAATGTGGAAATGATGATATCTGTATCTAGCAAAGCTCCATGACATATATGAGATTTAAGATCAGTTTGTTTTCCTTTCCCGCTTTAGCTTTTAGCTAACACACAGATAATACTACAAAATATGTTAAGAAACACTGAATTTAATTTTTTTTCTCATTTTATTCACAAATTATTACATTTATTTAGCATAAATGCAGCCGCATATCTTCTGATTTTATATTTATCAAGTAATATAATTTGACTTTTTTAATCTGATGTTGATGTCATATTATTACCAGACAAAATTTTCTATTACAATCTCTTCTTTTGATATGAAAATATGTATCATTTCTATTTTTTATTTAATCTCCACAGTTTGGGTTTTTTGCAGTTAAATCTGGCTAGTCAGATGAGCATAACAATTAAAGTTATCCTAAATATTTCCACTTTGGATCAATAAAGGCTATTTTTTTATCTTCTGTAAGTTATTTTAAATTGTATTTTATCAATGACTGAAAAGCAGATTACATGTATTAAAAAATGTATTGCATTTCTTTTCTTATCTTTTATGTAACTTTCTGACGCCCTGTTAGCGCCCCCTTGCGGCCCCCAATTTGAAAAGCAATGGACTAAGAGACGGTGACATTTTTAAATTAAATTTTTAATTAAAATACGAATTTATCCACAGATTAAAAATGAAAGGCAGAAAAAGCAAAATGTAGCTACAATCAGGCACCAATGATACATGTTATCTTATCATTTTAACAATTGCGATAACGCAACAATAACGTTATTTACTGATCATTAATATTTATTTATTCAACCGAAGACAGAGGCGGGCTAAAGCAGCCCACCGAAGACATTCATGGATTCTCAATTATAGATAACTCAGTAAAGACCAAAGTTGATCCTATCCCCCGCCCTCCCCACATCATGATACTCCTCCTACTACCTCACAGAAGCTGAAGATAAAAAAAAAAAAAAAAAACAGAAAATTGTTCACAGGGAGAAAATAAATCAACACTAATTCAGACAGAAATCAGGAGTAAGAAGGGAGTGGTGTTTAATGTCAGACAAGCTCGCAATTTAAGTGGAAGCTGGGAGTGATTAACCTCACACACAAAAACACTTTTGATGTGAGCAATAGCCCTGAAATGCAGTCGGTGAGGCTGGTGCGAACTAAACGAGATAATTGGGCTATGCTGCAGATTAGCCAGGAGACACACACACACACAGACAAAGACACGGTATGAAAACGAGTGTAACAAGAGTTAAGACATCCCACCCGCTGGTGGACATGGCTTGGCAAGACATTCCGGCACTTGTGATTGTAGGTTTCTTGAAATAAAGGTGTTTTGGGGTGAAAGCGACTAAGGCAGGAGACTTCATTCTCACAACTATAAGTGTTGTTGCGCCGCAGGTGAATACTGAAAGCTGAACCAGCTCAGGGAAGAAGAAGAAGAAGAAGAAGTAAACATCTTTGTTGTGATCTAGCTGTCATGAGTGTGGCGACGATTTAAATTGGATTAAAATATGGCAACTCCTCTATCAGCGTTTTAAGGTCTGAGTGATAAGAGAGAGGCGGTGAAAGACTCACGACTTCTGGATCCCCAGGACAGAAGGAAATCCCGGAAGTGAAAAGCTGCGAGTCCGAAAACTGTAGAGAAACCCTGACAGTATACATATGGGAACATTAGTTGCGTTTCCATTAACCACAAAATTGCGCAAAATGAAATTACGAAAATAAACACGTCAATTTCGAAACAAACAAACAAACAAAAAAAAAAAAAACAACTAATGTTTTCCGATGAAAGTTTTGGCGCTATCGAATTACGTCTTTCGCGTCACACGAGTCACGTGACGAACAGCCGGATGTTACTACTGGAGAAAACGTCGAAGAAGACGACAGGAAGTGGTAGGAGGACGATGTTTTTCTTTCACAATGTGCATCGGCACACTTAATTAAAAAATTATATGTCATTCAAGTGTTGAATCTCTGCTGCATATGTAGTTGGGTTTGTCGCTCCAACGCCTAAATAAGACTCCTACCTCTCCTTTGTCATGGTTTTTTTTTATGACTTATCGCTTGAATGAGCTTATTCACGTGATTTTAATTTCATTTTTTATTAAACAGAAATGCTGCAAATGCGAAATTGTGTTTTTTTTCTCGACATTAGCAGAATATAGACAAAGATTTGCGCACATTTGTAATGGAAACGCGGCTAGTGACATTAGACCCTGTTTGAGACTGCAGAGGACAGACATGACAGACCACGGTCCTACCAGCCTTCACACTCTACAACTGAAGGAGAGATCGGGTCAGACAGATCACTTGTGCTGTCAGCATAGAAACCCATGATATTCATGCAGTATTGATAAAAGAAATCAAACAAAAGAAAAACAAAACGGATCTATACTTTTTCTTCTAAACATAAATCAGTGGATTTGCAAGAAGTTGATGAGAATGGCATCTGGCAGGTGACATATATCTTTACATTTTACTGGGATGTAAACACATTTTTGTAAGCCTGACGGGTGTGGCCCCAAACCCACACTTCAGTTCCTTTACCACCAGAATCCTCCCCTCTCCCTCAGTCCTCAGTATGCATCTTCCTAGCAAACACTCAGCGGATGTAAACATCCTTCCCCCAGTCGTCCTGGTTCTTGTTGCGGCTCATGTTGGACCCTGTGTCCACGGGGTCCTGGCAGTAACGCTCCCTCAGCTTGGCCCGTCCATGCGGCTGCGTCTGGCTCGGCATCGAAGGGTGATTGAGGTTTTCCTGATCCGGCTCGGCTCCTTCGTCTTCCCAGGAGGCCTGTCGACCGTGATGCTGCGCCAGGTGAAGGCGGCTGCCTCCACCACCTCGGTACGGGTCGGGCTCTTCGTAAGGGTCAGTCTCAATGTCCATGCAGGAGTCACCGGCCTCAGTGTAGGCTGAGTCTCGGCTGCCCTGGGTCTCCGAGTCGAAGGTGTCTTGCCGGGAAAGGCCTCTGCCACTGCCCCCTCGTAGCTGGCCGCGGGATGAGCGCAGGTAAGCCTGCTGCTGGTGCTGCTGCTGCTGCTGCTGAGGCTTCCCACCCAAGTCTGTCTCGTAGTCATGCAGGGTGCTGCTCCCACCGCACTCTGTGAGACCCCCTTCACGCTTCTGCTCACCGTGAACCAGGTACGGACCCTGCAGCCAGTCACACCCATGCAACCAAAAGAGGACATGCAGATGCACAAACAGCAAACCAAACTGTGAGTAGAGAGCCAGCAGGGTTAGCAACACCAGCATACAAACAAAATCCTTTGTTTAGTGTCCTCACACATTTTACATTGACCTTGCAAAAATATGAAAAGGGAACATATTAAGCAAAATTGCTTCTTAAAACAGCCCAAGAGCTACATTTTTTGGCAATAAGTTAATTTTTGTTGGTGTTTGGAAAAGAGAAGAGTTTTGTTGTTGACTTGACTTCCAGAAACCACTTGCTACATTCTTGTTGGCTGTGCTGGAGACTCTACTTCTCCTTTTCAAAGACGAATAATTGAGCATCTTTTTGCAGCAGCTAATTTAGATTTAAAGTGATAAAAGGCCCTAAAACAGCTTAATCTGAAAGAAGCTCAAAATAGACAGAAGTGAGCAGATTAAAATCTCAAAAATCTAAAAAAAAAGTGCAAAAAATGTAATGATATGTCTAATATAGCCTGTAGATCTGGACTATCCAGTTTATGGAAGCATAACAGGATAGTTGATGTTTTTATTAACATTTTGTCACTTTACAACCAAAACTTCAATGTATTTTATTGGAATTTAAAGTGACAAACCAACATAAAGTAGCCCATCTTTTCAAAGTAGAAGAAATATCATATTTCTCTTCCAGTTTTCATTACATTGTGATGCCATGTTGCTGAACAGACCCTCTACCACACTTTTCAGATTTTTAGAGGCTTAAAAAGTTTCCACTCTTGCTTTACTTTACCTCAACATTGAGCTTTGTGGCAAAGTGACAAATACAAATCGAAGCTGTATGAATACTTTTGCAAGGCACTGTTAGTTTGAAGTGCAATCATGTTTAAGTTTACTCTGTTGCACATGTTAATTTTGTCAATTAAAGTCATGAAACTTACCTTTTAAACAATAAGAACAGAATATACCAATGCAACAGTGCCACCTGCTGGCTGATTGATGTCATAGCAAAACACCCACCAACACCTTACTGATCTTATCCAGGCCAATTCTGCATCATCTTTAAGTTCAATCTGATTTATGTAAATAAAAATATCTACTTGTAGCTTTTCTGACCTTTTCTCTCTTGTAAATATATATTTTTATGTTCTATAGCAGAGATCTGCAAGGTGTTACATCATCATGCAGTAGCCAGGCTCTCACTCAGGCTGCAGGTTATTACGGTTAATGAGTAACCAGCAGTGATTGAAAGGAAGCAAGAAAACCGATTACACATATGGCAGATCAATTGGACTGGCCAGAGCGTTAGAGACGGCCTCCACCAAACCGAGCCCTTTCTATTTGAAGAGGCGGATATGACTTGCTGTTTTCAGGACTGGTACCATGGCAACACGGAGGAGGAGGAGGACAGCAAAGTGGATTCTCCTCACAGAGCAGGAGAAACGAAGCCATGGAGCTAACGGGGGGGCAAGGCTAGGGCAGCAGATATTATTTTACAATGGATGGGGCCTTGAGGGCAGAGGTATCTGGACCGGTCTCTTCTTTCACAGCTTTGAGGAGACAGCATTTTACTTCTAGGTGTTCTTAAAGGGGCAGTATTATGTAAATCAACGTTTTTCAGCTCTACATCATGTTATAAAGTCATTCCCTCATCAAAGTGTTGCCTTGATTCGTTTATGCATGTTTGAGAAATCCTTTAGTCTCCGTGGCAACCATTCAGCTGTGCAAAATGCCTGGGTGGACCTAGCTCCGCCTTCAAGGCAGCTCTGTTTTCGGGTTTCCAAGCTTTCATTTCACAGAACAGCTCCACTCAAATCCTTCAGACTAGCCAGTAGGAATTAGCCACTGCTGCGGTCATTATTCGAGCTGCTTCTCAATGATACAAACTGATACAAACTTTGTTATGGGGTTAGTAGAGGAGCGACGTTGTGATGACTTCCTGAAGACGGAGTTTTAGAAAGAGCAGGAGTTTTTAAAGAGACAGAAGCCCAATTTCCAGGCATTAAATTGCAAAGTCAAATTTTGTTCAAGTCATATTTGATATATATATTATTTTAACACAACAAACAGTAACATAGTTACTTAGCTGTGCTATAAAATGATGTTATATTCCTGGAAAATACATAATACTGCCTCTTTAAATTTGCTGTTTATATGTGAGAAATTTGCTCCATACTCCAACACTTGTACTTCGCTGCTGTCCTGTGTTTTATGTACAGAATGAACAGGGTTTTATGGCACTCTTCCTTCACGTTTACAGCACTCAGGCGGGATTTGGGTCAAGTCACTGGAGTGCGCCCCTCCACAACCCGCTCCTTGCTGCTGGACTTCAGACAGCATGCTCCTCCTCTTTCCCCTCGACGGCCACTGCACCGTCCATACCAGGCCACAGATCCATATTTCTGCGCAGAGAGGTGAGCACCTGTACCTGCAGGTTGGAGACAGGCTCAGGGGAGGCAGCTAGGGCCGCCGTGGCCATGGTGCGGTTCAGGAGAGGGTTGGGAGGGTTGCTGCTCGGCGGGTGTGTCGCCTTCCAGTAGGCCTCCAGGTAGTCTGCAAGGTGTTCACATGCGTCCTCCAGCTGGTTCTCATCCAGGATGATGTCAAACAGCTCCTATGAAGTTGTTAATTTTAAAGAGTCAAAATCTAGTGGGACCATCACATATTTACAGTTTACACCCACTGCAATCTGCAGAGGGTCAAATTATACACACAGGTAGCACTCACAATACTAGTTACCAGTGGTGGGCAGATAAAAGTTTTGTTTTGACGCTTTAGTGCTGTTGCAAACTTTAGAAAAGGGCTATCTTTCTTTAAAGCTGCAGTACGTATTTTTTTTAAATATGCTTTTTACATGTTTGTTAAAATTATCATTATGTTGTAAAAAACATATTTTCTTTTCCCAGAAAAATGTTTTTCAGGAAGAAAAACATGTTTTGTAAAGCTACATACTGCACCTTTAAGGCTGGAGTATGCAACTTTTGTTAAAAAACAAAACAAAATGCTTTTTACATATTTTAGTTAAAATTATCATTATATTGTAAAAAAAATGTTTTCTCTTTTTTTCCCACCCAAAAATATGTTTTTCAGATACAGATGTACTAAACTAAGACATATGTTAGTAAAATGAAAAAGGAGGAACACGAAGCAGAACTTACAGGTGGACATTGAGCTAGCTTGTCAGCTGCCACCATCTGCACATTCAGATGTTTGGCCTGGGATTTCCCTCTGGATTTAATGAGCCTCTGGAGAACCTGCAGGGAATTGATAACATAGTTGAATGACAAAACAACTGCCACTTGCTCAAGTTAGGTATCATGCATCAAAATTATAATAATGTAGCCTAGCTAACAGGAAAGTCAAATGTGCAGCCAGACGTCCCTATTTTATCCAAATGTAAAAATGGTCTTAAAGGTGACTTATTGTGCTTCTTGGAACAGATTAGGGAAGGCACACAGCCTAAACAAAACATGCCCAGTACATTCTTAAATAATGAGATTTTAGTCTGGTCAGGCCTGATTATGTTGAGCTCCTTTGAAAAGCAGAACTGGAGCCACCTGCACAACCAACAAGAATGCAGCAGTGGTTTCTAAATGGTAAGTTAGCAACAAAACATTTGTCTTTTCTAGCAGCCATTGGTTTTACTGCATACAGCAGTAAAACCAGCTCATCAAATGTGCTGGAGCTTCAGTTGGGTTGCTGGGTAACTTGAGTGAGCTTGACTAGGGTTGCTAGGTAATGACATTACTGCAAGTAAGACACTTGTTGCTCATAAGCACTCCACGTGATCGCTTTAATGAAAACTTAACATGAAATATTGTAAATAACATCTGCTCTTACCTTGGGTGAGGCTATTTTGATATAAACAATAATGGGTGCCAAGGAGGTCTTGGCCAGCTGAGAGGGGTGGTTGATGGTGTCTGCATCCAAAGCAACAAGCTGGAGGGTTCGGGCCAACTCAAAGATACGTTCAATCTCACTCTGCACTTCAGCTGAAAGCCCAGGAAGCAAAAAAAAAAAACAAACAAACAAAAAAAACAACAAAAACAACAAAAACAAAACAAAACAAAAAAAAAAAATCATAAATATGACATTTTTTTTCTTTGAATAGAAGCATCTCTCCATAACAAGACAGAGTTTCTCTAACTTGTGCACAAGTACATAACTGCGATGTTAGTAACTACTCATGCATGTTAAATTATTTGTAAAAAAAAAAAAAAAAAAAAAAAAAAAAAAAAAAAAACAAGCTTCCAGGCATGTAAATCGGTTTGGACCACAGTAAAAGTTCCATTTATGCCAAGCTAAATGGAGCGCTGCAGCATCCTCATTCATTTGCCCCCTTCAGATATTTTGAGTTTTTGTATGTTGTTTTGATCATTACTGATTCAAGGCTGCCATAGAAGGAGGCGCTTAGAAATGAGGTGCCTGTGGTGCTTTGAGGAGCTTGCAGTAAGGCCACAATTTGTCACTAAAAAAGAAACATGAAGAGAGAAATAAAAGCATGAAACATCAGATTTTGTTAGGACGTTTCCTACCATGTGGACCATTCAAGTCTGTGCACGACGCTTGTATTGTTCCTCAGAGTGCATTTAGTTCGCTTTAAATGAAGTCTAGTTTGTTTGCCTACAAAGTCTGAACTCTGATGCATACCAAAAAAAAAAAAGAAAGCAAACTTTGATTCACCTAAAAACCTGCATCTTGGTTTGTTGCGGTCCAAATGCATATGTGAATGCCAAGTGGCCCAGAGACCGCTCCAAAGGCAGGAAGTGAACTACACTGCAGGGCATTCTGGGTAAATACAACCAAAACAAACGCGTCAATCTGCCACTAGCAGGAGAAATGGCTTGTTGTCTTTTGCCAGAAACAGAAAGGAAATCCTACAATTGCTAAAATCTGAAGCTACTCCATTTTTGTTTGCAGGTAGCGCAGAGGTGTCAAACTCATTTTCATTCTGGGCCATATCAAAAATCTGAATGTTTTTAAAGGGCCAGTGGTACCAGAATATATTAATAAAACTGTTAAAATCTTAATATTTGTGTTTTATTTGTAATCAAAATCACAGTCAGAAATATTTGCAAGAAATGTTGACAATATTTGTGCTAATGTATGATGTGAAATGTGACTTTTTATTACTCGCCGTGCCAATCACAGACTATAACTTGACATTAACTTCATATCAAGTAACGCTGAGACAGCAGTCATTTAAACTCAATATTTTTGATGAATTTGAAGAAGGAATGTGGGGATCTGATGATTTTGTGTGAATTTTGTGGATTTGTGAAAGACTGGAGGGACTTACTGGTGTATTTTGGAGTCTATCGGACCACATAAAAAGCTACAGCAGGCCAGATTTGGCCCCTGGGTCTTGAGTTTGATGCATAGTGTCTTCTTCAGAGGTTTTTGTGTCGTTTTATTGAGTAGGTTTTGGTGCAGCGCCACCACAGACGAGAGGGGAAATAGTTTTTTCAAATTGTTTGGTTCTTTTGACAGTGCAGTGAGAAAGCAAATGTTGCAATTTTGGCCCCCAAAGAAACTGAGTCTATCGGGTGTGAAAACACCCTTGCAGAACTTAGCACTGCTTCCAAAATGGCCTGTTGAAGGGGGGGAGATTAAAAACCGAAAACCTGAATAAACTCCTCGCCTGCTTGGTCGGAAGTCAGGGTGCTGGAAACCTAGTGGCAGCGGGAGATAACAAAGAGGCAAAGCGATGCCGCGCGCACACATTACAGTGGCTGAGCGATGGAGAACTACAGCTGGAGGCCAAACAGGGTCTCTGCATGTTGATAAGAAGTCTGAACTCCAGCTCGTATAGAGAAAGATCAAGCAAAGCTTTCATTAACTTCAACAAAGACTGTGATTTCATACATTTGGCTGCTGAGATAAACCTACTCCCTCACCAGGAGTTAATAAAGGAAGATCCAGTGGTGTGATTGCAGACATATAAAATAGTGGTAGAATTATGGGTCAAAACCTAAGGTTAGGTGTGCCTTTTTATAGCTTCCCTCTGCTTCTGCTGGTCTCCTCCTGCTTGGGTTTTGTAATTCTTTCCCTGACTACAGGCTGTCACAAAAAAGTATGAGGAACAGAGAAACTGACAGGCAAGCAGACAGACAGACAGACAGGCGAAGATGAATATAAGCATATTATGAATATAGTTAGGAGGAAAAAAAAAGGCAGAGGGAGAGAGGCGTCATTGTTTTGTTGTGAGGGGAGCATACGTACCCAGTACGTCTGAATCAAAAAGACAGAGGAGGAGGAGGATGATGGGCGGTGGGAGAGGAGGATGGGCGAAGGGCAGAAAAGACAGGATGAAAAGAGAGAGGATGCTGGATCAGACTCAGTCAGAGCTGGAATAAAAGCTTATAGGTCTTTTGATGACAAACAGTGATGCCTGAAGTCCATGCTCTGCTCATTTCTACCGTCTAACTGCATCTACAAACAGGAAGTTCTGGTCTGTGTCACATCAAACAGGAAGGAAAAACATTCCTGGAATTTTTTTTTTGCTTTTTTCGCTCACCTTGATGTTGGGTGATGAGAATCTTTACAGAAGTACCAAAGAGCATTTCCCACTAGTTTCTTACCCTACGCATCTCAAGGAATTTCTATTTTCAATTTTCAATTTTATTCCTAAAGTGTTAATTCTATTTATTATTATCTATTTTGTGTAAAAAAATTCAATTCAAATTAAATTGTGACAACAGACTCACTCATCAGGCTTTTACTATTTTTGCACACACATTAGATTTTAATCAAATTTGTTTGAAAACATAAATAAATGCAACCAAAACTGGGTGTAAAAAATAAAATTAAAGCTTTGAAAATGTACAAATTTAACAATTATCTCCATTTATGCATCCTTGATAATACACTCCTCTTTTCCTCTATTTCTTGTGTAAAAATATTAACAATGAATTCAGTTATCATCGTTTAAAGGTTTATTAAATTAGTGTTTTCATAAATGACTGCTACAACAAACTAAGCTGTTGCTATTTTCTGATGACTACATAGTTATAGCAATCATCATTATTACTTAGGTTTTAGATTATTTTGATTAACTCTGATAACCGACCACTTTATTAAATACCTCTAATTTTATTGAATTGCTCGTTAACACAAATTAAGACTCAGCCAATCACACGGCAGCAACTCCAATCATGTCTACGATACAAATGAGGATTATAGGTGAATGGATCTAAATCATCTTTTTAGCAAATGTTGATCTCTCTCAGTAACCATAGATCCGGTGAAATTCAGCAGAAAGCTTTGCACAGCATTGCACCACTCTTCTGTAGGCTGATCAGATATGCCAGTCTGCAACAGCGGCATGCAAACAGATGCAGGAGCCATGAAGTCTGACTGCTAAATTAAAGCTACCCTGCGGTCCTAACAGCGACATCCCAGCATATATTTCCAATAAAAACTGGAAACCAGACTGGAATTTTGTTCAAACACGCTGAAGAGAATCCAGCGTGCAGCTGACACAACACAGTGGCATAAAAAAATAAAAAATATTTAGAACAATTAGCTGCCTATGTTTGTGCAACAGCTGCATGGTACTATCATGTCAATTTAGACCGAAATCTCTGAGAAATGCCTCTAATGCCTTTTTGAATCTATGCCATGACGAATTAAAGCAAGGTCCAAGCAAGGTGTACCTAATAAAATGGCCGGACAGAATATATGTTTCACTTCCTCATAGTTAAAGGAAATCTCTCATATGAAATACTTCTGCTAACTATTAAGACAGCTAGGTCAAAATTAAAATGTTTTACCTCAGAATTATGAAATGCAGCCGGCTCAAAATTATTCATACCCCTGGCAGATTTAAAGAGTTTGATTACTGCAGTACCAAAAAATGGAGGAGAGCAAATAATTTTCAACCTAGCATTTTTTAACAACATTGAAAAAAACAAACAAACAAAAAAAAAACCATAATCTGTTTTACATTTTGGTTGAAACAAGACAATCTGTGACATGTATGAAAAACCACCTTTTCTGCATTAATAAATTACAATCATATGATAAAATCTTACTAATGCATGTAAGATATTGACTCCTTATACTCATTTAAGAGAACCCACACTTCAGAAATCCTGAACAATCCCTTCAATGTTCACAGTTTTCAACTAATAAGCCGTGTTCAGACATGATCAAAGTAAAACTGGATGATTTTAAATGATTTGTGGACAGAAACAACAAATTAAATCTGTTGATATTTTAAATTTTAACAAGCCCACCATCTGAAAAGTAAAAAAAAAAAAAAAATGCACCAATACGTTTTTACTTAAAGGTAATTTAGGTTTAATTTCAAATCAAAGATAGAGTCCTTATCCTTTCTTAAAGAAAAAATGTTCTATATAATTACCAAATAATGTTAAGTCTCTCTGTTAGTGTAAATAAAAACGCAGATGTAAACACAGATAGTGAAAAATGTGGAGCAACTAAACACAATGGATATAAATATTCTGATATTTACTTTATGTTGCATAATTTCACCGTGAGATAGAAATCCTACATTTTCCGAATAGTTCTTTCCTTCTGTAATATAAAAAAAGGCCGTCTTACCCAGACTGGAGCGGGTACTGGAGCGCTCGATGATGGTGTGTTTACTGGGGTTGTTGAGGACTGAGCGTTTGGCCAGAGAGATGTCTGCTGTCACACGTGTAATGGATATCCTAAAAATAAAAAAAAAAAACAACAATACATCCCGATTTTATCTGAGTAGGGCAAGTATTTGATTAATCTATCAATTATTCTCATGATTAATTGCTTAATCTGGTTAAAAAATTGACACAATCTGCTGATTTTTCATTAAACTTCTTCAACTGCACTTGAGAAGTTTTGGGTAAATTATGTTGACAGGCAATATAATTTATATATGTTTTCTGAATATGATGGCCTCTTTTTAAGTCCAGTTAATGGTTAATCAATTATTAAATGAGTTGATGATCATTTAAATAATTGTTTCATCTTGTTTCATCAGATGAAATTTAGGCACATTTAACAAATTATTCTGCAGGCTTGGTTACTGCTCTGAATATGTTGGGTTTTTGTGAATTCAGTTAATGATTAATCAATTACTAAATTAGTTGACAATTATTTTAATGATTCAATCATCACGATTAATCCGATTAATCGCTTCAGCCCTACATCAGATGGAGGTTTCTCAGTGTTAATAATGGGTTTTGCATGTCTTACCTGCCCTCAAACTTGTGTTTCAGAAAGTCGAAGAGCGCTTTCTGCATCATATCCGTCACCTAGGAAACAAAACCAGACATGAAGAACACAGAAAATGACTGAATTTAGGCTTAAATTAGCAGCTATTGCTTTGCTTCCTTCCTTACCTCATAGCCTTTTAGTGAGGGTCCAACGAGAATGATGGGTCTCATGGAGGGAACCACGTCGTATGGAGGAACATGCTCCATCTTACCCAGGGAAAGAAAACATCAGAATTGGACAGAACCAAAGCTAACAGAGTCACACTCACATAAATCCTTCCCCTCCTTATGTGAGAGGTCGCAGTGATGGATGGCGAGTCTCAGACGATGGAGTCCATTTGTTCTATTAAGTGTCTGAGTGCGCAGAGGGAGGGATTGATTTTTGAACTCAGAGCGCTGCCCTCTATTTCCTCGGCTCCATAATTAATGCGTCCATAATTAAACCAGACGCCAGCGTGAGTGTCAGGAGAGCTCTCGTGACCGCGCCGGGGCTCCAAACACAGACGTCAAACTTCACACTTCCCTCCTTCTGTTATAGATGGGAACAGTTGCAGCAGTCATATTACATTACTAATTGCTACTACAGTCATGTGAAAAAATTAGGACACCCCATTAAATATTCAGCTCCTTATTAAGAAGTGTTCACATATTGATGTCTAACCTTATGTTTTATTTATCTCTGGAAAAGAAAGTTATTTAATTGCTATTAAACAACAAAAATACGCCGTTTTTCTTACTCATTTAAAGTTACTTATTATTTTTCCTTGCATAGGTTGGGTTAAGGTTGGTCTATGGGCTATACAAAACATGTTTATTACATTTTTAACACAAAATAATTCTAAGATAATGCCTATTTTGCGCTGTTTTAGGCCCCCCAACTCAACATTTACACACACACGTGAAAATGGCTGCAAACAGTTGCAGAATTATGCAACTGTACATATTTGAAAAGTAGAAGTGGAGCCTCCCTCACAACCAAAAATAATGCAGCAGATGGTTTCTGGATGTTAAATCAACAACAAAACAATTGTTTTCTCCAGCAGCGCATACAGTGGTAAAACTAGCTCAGCAAGCACCCTGGCGTTCTGCTTGGGTTGCTAGGAGACGTTCTGGGCTCGGCTCAGGTTGCTAGGTAACAGCGCAGAGCCTGTTGTTTTTCATTTAACAATCAGGAGGCTTTTTGAAGTGGCTCATTTTCAAGACTCCAAAAGATACTAACTGATTGCCAAAAAAACAGCTGAGTGTTTTTTTTAAGTGCTTGGACTATTTTTAGACGCAGAAGAGGCCCAGATGGAAGTATAAAACGTGCAAAACGTGAATTTCACATTATAAAACACAATATCTATATCTATATATCTTATGTATATCTATATATCCACACAACACCTAAATGAAATCAAGATCTGACCTTAACTATACAAGCAGTCATAAGTGTTTCATACTTTTAATTTTGGTAAAACCAGACTATCTATCCTGTATTCTCTAATAACGATGAAGCCGGATGAAATTTATTTCCCTTCGTGGATTTTTATTCCAAGCGTGCCCACTCCTCTGTGTGCTGCTACAACACTTCAGGCATCAGAAAGCACTAGAGCGACCTGTTCAAACATTACATTACATAAACCTGAGAGCAATGGAAGATCGTTTCACCTCATTTCTATTCACCAGCCAAAAATACATGGTGTAAAAATGTCCAAATGGTTCTTGCCAATAAAGAGGGCAAAGCTGAAAACATCAGCTCCACTGGCTGATCATGAAAAAAGCAGGAACAGCACACAATTTAGAGCTGTAGCTCGACTGATAGCTTACATCATGCATGAATTAAAAAATAAATAGAATTTGGGAAGAAGGCCTACACCAATACGACTCCAGTATAAAAGTTTCTCATTACTCTGCTTAATTAGCTTTGTGTTTTTATTACAGTCCAGTTTCATAAATGTGTCTTTACCCAATGACACTAATCTTGAGTTTTTCACAGCAACAAACACTCAAAAAGCATAAGGTGTAACAGAAATTAATCTCACTGCCACTGTTAAGTAAAGTGGAGGATCTGTGGTGCTGTGGGCCTGTTTCTGCTGTTTGCATGCATGAATGCTGGGAGATTTTAAATAAAAATCTGATGAAACTCAAGGCAACCGGAACATAATTTGTACCCCAATTTAAGCTTTATTTGATGTAAAATACCCCCAACTGCTGTATATTGTTCAGATTTTTTTTGTGATTTTAAATAATAATAATAGTAATAATAACAATAAAAATAATAATAAATAGAAAAACCTAAAATTATGACAGAATATTAGGGTCATGCTGAGAAAATAAAACATTAAGAATAAAGTTATAATATTACGACTTTATGCTCTAAACAATGTCTTCATTCTTGTATTATTTCGCCTTTATTCTCATACAATATATTCTAGTAATATTATGACTTTTTTGTAATACTACAACTATATTCTTGTCATCTTTTTTTTATTTTTTCTAGTTATGGCCATATATTTACAGGATGGATATTTTATACTCCGTCGTATAAAATATTTCAAGCTCTGGATTTTTAAAGCATTTTGGCTAATTAGATTTTATTTGAGACAATTCTTTTCCTATAATTCCCAGAGAAAACAAACAAACAAAAAAAAACACCACAAATCCCAGAAGAAAATCAAAAGATTCACGAAAATCTGATGAGAAAGCAGAGACTTTTAGCAGGAGAGGGTTTGAAGTGATTGTTCAAACGAAACAAAATCAACCTTTAGTTAATTTAACAATCATTGGTTCATTAAAAGCCTAAGTATAAAGAATATAGGTGTCTCTAATTTTAGCACACATGACGTAATAACGAAAAATATCTCTGTTAATCCTGCATCCACATCTTTACCAGGGGCGTCGATGACAGCAAACATAAAAGCTGCCCATTCCTCTCACAGCTAAAATAACCTCATGAAAGCTTTTGATGGGCAGAAATTACACAGAGAAGCATGACTGACTGTCACTCGCATCAGGTATCATAAATGGGAATGAAAGCGTGTCAGGATGCATTACAGCTGCACTCTGATTAACGAGGCCCTGCACCTGCATCTGCACGCTGATGCCCGTGATACTGACTCAGGGGAAATGACAGAGGCGTCAACATGATTTAAAAGCCGCTCCGTTGGATTTTTTTTCCTCTATTTTTTTTTTTTTTTTTTTGCATCAATAATTATTTGGAAGCATAAACAGTTGAATAGCCACTGAAAGCTGCTCCATGTAGAGGATAAAGAACGACATGATTGGATGTTAGAGCAGGGGTGTCCAAACTTTTTGAGTCAAATGTATTCGAGGGCCAAGACAATAAACAAAAAAATGAAATGAAATGAAGCAAGTTAAATGGTCCGATTTTATTCATTCAATTGTTTTTTTTATTTTGGTAGGAAAAGGTTGTTGTTCGATATAGATCCATAACTTAAATCAGATTTTCTGTATCAAAAGAAAGGCACCTAGTTTTCACTTTTTTTGGCTCAATTGAACAGATTTATTCTCAAAATAAGAACAGTATTTGGGTTTATTTCAAAACATTATGCCATATTCAGCTAAGTTTAATTAACTGAATAACAAAAATGGAATTAGGTTCTACGGAAAATGATTAGGGTCACTGAAAAAATAAAATTGACTTTTTTTTTTTCTCAGAAAAGTTTATAGTCCGAATTCCTTTTATTCGGTGGTTCTGATCCTCGTGAGCAAAGTCAGCTTTTTAGTAAAAGTCTTAGTTATAATTTGTGTTGTACTTTATATTTTCCATTGTAAGAAAATTACGTAATAGATTGATCTGCATCAGCAAAAAGGGATCAAATTTCTATCCTCCCTGCACTGCGGTTGGGGGCCTCACAAATTTAACTAAAGGGCCACAAATGGCCCCCAATCCACACTTTGGACACCCCTGAGTTAGAGGTTAGTGTCAAGAACAAACACTCACCGACTTCTGTTTCTGTTTAGCCGGGCCACCTATAGCATCATTCCACACACAAGCAAAAAGAGACAAAAAAAAGCACAGAAGCATGTTTAGTTAATAACAGGTTCAGATTAGAGAAACAACAGAGGAGAAGAAGTTTTATTATTAGAGTTTACACATTCTCAGCATTGAAGGAGCCTTTTAGGGCCAAACAGGGTTAGATTTGGGAGATAGAGTAGCAGCCGGGATGGTTATAGTGCGAGCAGTTAGTGAGAAACAAGGAGCAGAGGTACAGCGGTTAACTCCGGTTTCCACTCAGAGGTCAAGTTCAGGAATGTTGGAGGAGGAAGGCAACAAGACGTCCCTGTCCAGTCTTCTTTAGAGTTACCTTCTTAAAGAAGGGCAGGCGGTGGGCGTTGGCCTGGGGGGAAGTTACGCTGCCTGAGATGCCCTTGGGGGATCGAGGGTCACCCTGGGACTCAGGGGGCTCCTCGGCATCAAGGTCGAGGGGGTCAACGTCAAAGGCTGCTGTGGATGTGTCCATGGGAGCTATTGTTTGAGTGGACATTTCGGACAGAAAAGGAGGAGAAAGCAGGATGAAGAAAAGCAAAGGAGAAAATAACAGAGAGACACTAACTGCGTTTCCGTTAACCATAGAATGGAGCAAATTGAAATTCAGAAAATAAATGAGCTTAATGGAAACATGCCAATTTTGAAAAAACAAGTATGTTTTTTGGTAAAAGGTTTTTTGCATTCTTTTTTCAGCCATATCAAAATAGACGTAGTTTGCAAAAACAATTTTTTTTACATCACATGAGCCACATGATCAACAGCCAGATGTTACGAAGAAGACGACAAGAAATAGTAGGAGGATGATGGTCTGATTTTTTTTCTATCACAGATCGCACATTTTTTTAAGAAAAAAGTTGTCATTCAAATATTTTCTGTAAAATCGCTGGCTACAATTAGCCGCGTACTTAGACAGCACTCTTCTTTTGACTGAATTATGCATATTTATCATCATCCATGATTTTTATTCACATGTGAATAAAAATCTGCAGAATTGTGTTTTTTCTACGTTAGCGGAATGTCGACAAATATTCGCGCACATTTGTAATGGAAACGCAGCAAGTGAAAGGAGAAAAAATACATGAGAGGCAACAAGAGGGAGGCAGAAGATGACATAAGCTGTGATAGAAAAAATGACTTTAACAAAAAAAAGGAAGAAAAAGGAACACAATAGATCACCACAAAGCACGCCGCAGATGTCAGGTGTAATAGCGAGAACAGCAGAGAAGGTGAATTCAGTGTGAAAGTAGCTAAACATGTGAAAGAAGTGGGAAACAGGAGGAGCTGCGAAAGGAACTGAGAGAAAGTAAACTGCAGGAGAAAAGAAATCAAGCTAACGGTGGCGTCATGGTGGCGGGGGTCTTGTTTTGGGTCAACCTGGGATTTGGGGAGTTTAGCGAACTGAATGTTAAAGTGTAACATATTTATATAACATGCTGGAAACAAAGGAAACTGGAAATGTGAAATAATCCACTTGTTTAAGGTAGAGTACGGGATGCAACAACTCTCTATTTCGAACCTGAACAGATAACTTACAAAAAAGACAGACTTTATGTGATTTCATCATTTCAGGAGGATTTAGGTGTATGCTTGCATTTGAATCCTTTCTCCTGTTTGCAATGATTATACAACATACAATTGAAATTATTTCCCAAAAGCAACTACTTTTTTACATTTTCGTTTGTACCTAACTCCATTTAAGATGAATGTTTCATGCCACTGGTAGTTTTAAATACTTGAGACCTGATCCTGCTTGGAGTGTTACCTTGGATTGTGTTTAAGTTGCATTTAATTAATCTGCAGTGAATCGAGTGCATCACTGCAAAACCACAAAATCTTACCAAGTAGTTTTGGTCCAGTTACTAGTGCAAATATTTTTGGTACACTTGAAATCAGACAAAACTAACAAACAAGTAACATTTCAGCAAGATATAAGAGCTTGTTTTAAGTCAACAATTCCTTAAATTATGTTTCTGTTCATACTTAAGCCAACCAGTTTAAATTCACTCCAATTCTGCTGAGTGAAGTAGTACACTGAAAAAAGATAAATGGCTTCAACTAGTTAGAAATGACTGAATTAATTTTATCCAAATGAATATATTACATTTTTTTAGTTATCAAGTGTATTTGAATTGGAGCTGCATTTGCTATTTATAGCATATCTAGTCAGAATGATCACAGAAGTTTGTGGATTAGATAAAATGTTTGCTTGAAGTTGCCTGTTGTATGATCATTTAAAAAAAAGATTAAAATCTCCAAATCAACATGAAATTCAGGCCGATCTTGAGAAAATGTACCGCAGTTTCAGAGGTATGAACCTCCATTTGACAAATTCAGCTAAAGTCAACAGCAATTGTTTGTGTTGATGTATTTTTGTTTCAGCTACAGAGACACACGGATGCAGACTCACACAAGCCAGACATACTTAACAGCTCTAATGAGCGTAGCTTGTTCTCGTCTCTATTTCAGTTGCATCCTGAGTGCTAATGAGTGACCTCCCAAGACCTCTTACACTTTTCTCAGGAATCCACCGAGACATGCCGTGATTCATTGTCATGCTTGAATAACTAGCCAATTATTAAAATCTTCATCTAAAGAATCAACCAGCCGGCTCATTTGATTATTCCTTGATTCAGGATTGCAAACACAGCAGGTTGTTTGTTTGATCTTACCTGTTCCTGGTGGAGTAGGCCTGCGGGTTCCTACGGCAACATCCAGACTCGAACTTCCTCCAGATTTACTGTAAAAGGAAAAGGAAGTAAAAGTAGGTGTGTTTTAAAGTTAATTATGTTTCCTGGAACAGGTTAGAATATGTTTATGGGCTATATGCACAACATGTTCAGTATGCATAAAATTATTCTTAGATAATTAAAGGTTTCAGTTTTAGGGCTTCTTATCTCTTCAAATCCAAAAAAAATGCTGCCCTACCTCAACGTTTACATTTTCAAGTGAAAATGGGTGAAAACAGATGTGTAATTATACAACTATACATCTCTGGAAAGCATCAGTAGAGCCTTCAGAAGAGGTTTCTGTATGGTAAATCAACAATAAATAATTTGCCTTTTCCAGCAAGTTTAACACCAGCTGGCCAAATGGCATGGAACTCAGCTTGGGTTGCTAGGTGACGGGCTGGGCTGGGCTGGGGTTGCTAGGTAATGGGCTGGGGTTGCTAGGTGATG